ACGTCACGGTCCGACCAACTTTATAAACTTTGGGCGAACACGGATAAATATTGCTGAGGAATTAGGTGATATTTAGGGACTTTTTAGGGCCGTCAAAATTATGTATGGTGCTCACTCAGTTTCCAGGCTAGTTAAGACTTTACTGGGTTAAATGTAACTTAGCAAAGCATTTGTTAAGAAGACTTTTTATTTGACGTTTTAAGTTTATGAACAACTGTCAAGTGTACTCATTGGGGTGTTTAATAAACCATATTTTAATTTGACATTTGTTTGTTTACTTTTTCTTATTCACATTTAGCTTGTTCCCGTACCCCAGCATTTAGACAGAAATAGTCCTAAGTAGCCCTGGTGTAGAATACCATCCGTGTTTAGGCGCGTCTGCTAACACCAGGCGCCTAAATACATGCTATGTACTGCTGCATGTGCTAAAATTTCCTTTATGCAATTTATGACATTTTTACACATGCACTTCTCAACCGCCATGTAATTGAACTTTCTTAAGTTTTGATTAGATGGCACTTCAAAGTATGCTCGGCCTAGTCTGATGCATCCTCCGGACATTGCCTCCGGAGCATTTTGTGGACTCTGCCTGACTTACAACCATGCAGGGGTGGCAAACGAACTTTGCCATTGGCCACAGTGCCTACCCACCATTTTTTAACCAATAAATATTTTTTTTATAAATACATACATGCAAACATACTGGTCTCCCCTCTCACTGAGTTATTCAATCCGTTTAGCCATAAAGAAATAAAAAAATATAGCTAAATAGAAATTTTCATGCTGATTTCAACCATATGAAGATTATTTGGCGCAAATAAAAACTAAAGCCAATTAAAAAGTTTAATTTTTATATTTTTTATATTTATAATATCTCGGAAACTATTTGACCGATCACAAACGTATTAACGCTAATTTAAACACAATTTAAATACCTTTTACACGACGTATACAGTTTAATCTTTTTGAAAACAAAGTAAGTAAACGCCATTTAAAAAAAAAAATATATATTTGTTTTTATTATTAGGTGTTTCTGGCTTACAAATATAAACAAAAGGAAACAATTATGTCCACCAAGTGAAATATCCCCTAATTACCTTTATCTTGACGTCACACAGTGTTTCGACTATATGGAGGCAGGTGGAAATAATAGTACACCTGCACCGATTTCACTGAACCTTGACATGTGCTCTAGTTTTACTTAGAAATAGAGAATTATGAAATTTTTTAAAGATTGAATAATTGCCTCGCCGTCTACTCTTGTGGGCGGAATCATTAAATTTCATCCGATTTCGATGAAATTTAGTTTGTAGTCTTTATTTTATTAGAAAAACCTAAATATAAAATATGAGGAAGATTGGATCACTATAACGTCCAAAGCGCACAAAAAAAGTGGGCCCAGTCATTAAATGTGATGGAATTTTGGTTAATTTTAGTTTCCTGCTTTCCACTCTCAGAAAACAAAGGTTATACTATAAAATGACTTAGGTGTAAATAATCGCTTTTTCCCAATGTTTTGGTGAGATTTTTTCATTGTTCGAAAACTTCTTTTCGCGAAATTATGCAAAAAGAAGCTGAAAATCAAAAATTAAGAAAATCAAAAATTATATATATTTGCAAAGTCGCGCGCAAAGATCAAATTATATATTCGAAGACTACATAAAATTCTCTAAAGCATTCGTCTAATTTCAAGGCCTGACGGACCGGTACTCACACTTTTTTTACTAATAATCTTTAGCATTTACATTTCAAAGCAAATGTTTTGGTAAGATAATAGGAAAGTACCAAATAAATGATAAATACCTTCACCTGAATATTCCACGACATTTAAATAATTGATTACAGTTGAAAGAAAAACACTTTCTTTAATGGGTTAATCGCCAAAGGCAAATAAACTGATTAGTCGGTATCGCGCCCATTTTCATATTTTTTTGGAAATGTATCGTTCGTGAAGACGGGGGTGAGTAAATAATGTAAAATTTGGTATTTATGGCTTTTACTTTTCCCTCTTTAAGTCCAACCGGTTTTTTTTATCAACTGTCACCATGAATTTTTTCTACCTAGCTCCATATATCTAGTCGAAACACTGTGCGTCATTAGTTTTTTAATAGGTTATATTGTTCAGAAGATAATAATATTTAAAAAACTTTAAAAAATTTGACTTTAACTATTGATATCTTCTTAATTTTTTACTATAGCCAAATAATTTTTGTATAGTTGAAATCAGCACAAAAAGTTCTATCGAGCCACATTTTGGTTTTTACATAGCTAGATTGCTAATATTCTACACTTATGTGGACGGAACGACCTGGGACTAATTCTGATTAAACCCTGCAGTACGGGTACAGACTAACTGTCGGCAAATTGGTTGCAGGTTTGGATTAGCAAAGACACAGACCAAATTCGATCAAAAACGGGTTGCATTGCATTTGGTTTGTGGCTTTGATAATCCAAACCTGCAACCAACTTGCCGACATTTAGTCTGTTCCCGTACTGCAGGATTTTATTTGGCGAAAGTTGAAATTAAAGAAGATATCAATGGTTAAAGTTAAATTTTTTGATTTTTTTTTAAATAAGGTCAAAATAAAGGTAATTAGGGGGTATTTCACCTGGTGTGCATAATTTTTTTTTCCTTTTTTATATTTTTAAGCCAGAAATACCTAATAACCAAAAAATATATAAACATATATTTTTTTAAATGGCATTTATTTAAAATTTCTTTTCTAAAAGGTTATACTATATACGTCCCGTAAAAGGTACTTAAATTATATTTAAATTAACACCAATAGGTTTGTGATCGGTCAAATTGTTTCCGAGATATTAAAAATAAAAAAATATATAAAAGTCTAACTTTAACCTCTTTTGTGGGCTTTAGTTTTTATTTGCGCCAAATAACCTTGGCATGGTTGAAATCAACTTGAAAAGTTTTATTAGTATTTAGGTACGTTCTTTATTTCTGTATGCCTAAACGGTTGATATTCTGCACCACGGCTACTTCGGACTATTGCTGTCTAAATCCTTGAGCACGGGAACAGGCTAAAGGCTGGTATGCAGCTCTCAAGAAATCGGTCAAGAAAAATTTGCCATTATTTCGTGTGTGTGTCCAAGGAGATTTGACATTTTTGATACTTCACAGCCTGTTGCCTCACTCTTTCCTCAAGAAATAATGGAACGGGCATATATTTCTGTTGCAAACCTGGGTTGCCTTGTGCTCCTTTTTCACAAAAAAACTTTAGAAAACGCTAGTAAAAAGCGTAGCAATTTTCTTAATAACTGCGTACTACCTGAAGGAAATTTGACTCAAGAAAATTTCTTAGCCATTTCTTGTACGTCTTTTTGTATGGAATTTTAGCTTTTCTTGAGAACTGCATACAGGCCTTAAATGTGAATAAGAAAAAGTAAACAAACACATGGCAAATTAAACTCTGAGTTTCTTAAACACCCCAATGAGTACACTTGACAGTTGTTCATAAACTTAAAACGTTAAACAAAAAGTCTTCTCTGAATAGATGTTTCGCTAAGTAACATTTAACCCAGTAAAGTCCTAATTATCCCGTAAAGTGAGTGAGCACCATACATAATTTTGACGGCTCTAAAAAGCCCCTAAATATCACTTAATTCCTCAGCAATATTTGTCCGTGTTCGACCAAAGTTTATAAAGTTGGTCGGCTACCGAGACGTCAAGCGATTTTTCAATGTTTACTGGGCAATGTTTTTAAAGCACAAAAAAACAAGCCCAAGTAAGCAGTAAAAAGTTTTTCCCTGAATAGATGTTTTGCTAAGTTATATTAAACCCAGCAAAGTCTTAATTATCCCGGAAACTGAGTGAGCACCTTAAATAATGTTGACGGCCCTAAAAAGCCCCTAAATATCACCTAATTCCTCAGCAATATTTATCCGTGTTCGCCCAAAGTTTATAAAGTTGATCGACTACCGGGACGTCAAGCGATTTTTCAATGTTTACTGGGCAATATTTTTAGCGAGTTTTCAATGTTCAACGGGCAATATTTGCAAAGTACATAAAAAGCACAAAATAATAAACCCAGATAAGCAGTAAAAAGTCTTCCCTGGATGGATGTTTTGCTAAGTTACAATTTATCCAGCAAAGTCTTAATTCTTATTCAGAAACTGGATGAGCTCCTATAATTATTTTGGTGTCTCTAAAAAGCCCAAAAATAGCACGTAATTCCTCAATAATATTTATCCGTGTTCGACCAAAGTTTAAGAAGTGGGCCAGATAGCGTGACGTCAAGTGGTTTTTCAGTGTTTACTGGGCAATATTTTGAAAGCACATAAAAAGCCCAAAAGTAGTAAAAAGACTTCATTGAATGAATGTTTTGCTAAGTTACGGTTAACTTAGCAAAGTCTTAATTATTTACGAAATGATCGGAGCACAAAAAAAAAACGAAAAGTGACCGAAAATAGCACACAATGAGCACAATAATTCGAACAAATTTTTTCTTCATTTTTTCATTTCAGCGCCGCTAACTTGATTGAGCTAGTATTCTAGCGATTTGCAGGAGTATTTCAAAAGCAATGTGAGCCAAATGTAATGTAAGTTTCGGCGTTTTGGGTCATATGTGTAACAATTTTATTTCGTAGGTAGTATCAATAATTATTGGTTATTGATTATTAATTATAATTACTAAATTTTTCTCCGTACTTTTGGCATCTATTCATTAAAAGAATAAAACGCAACAGAAAGTTGTAGCAAATATATAAACTCGAAGTTTGGGTCAAATGTATAACAATTTCATTTCGTTGATGGTATCAATAATTACTGATTTTTCTCCGTGCTTTTGGCATCTCTTCATTAAAATAATAAAACGAAACAGAAAGCTGTAAAATATATGTAAAATAGAAACTTGGTGGAGTCAGTGCTGCAGCTGGCTTTTGAGGCTCGGCTTAAACGATTGGCTGAAACGTAATTCGCTCCGATAATCGAAGTTAATGTAAAAAATTGAGTTCGTAGCGAAGATATTGTTAGTGATTTCGGCTGATGAATAAGTTAAATGAATCTGAATCCAAATTAAAAGGTGGACTGCCGCAGCTTAGAGATCACACATATGGATGTATGTGTCACACTTGATGCTGTAGCACATCAGTTGTATTTTTGCAGGCTTTAAGTGCGAAAGCATTAGTATAGTGTTCAAAAAAAAAATAATAATAATAATAATACACAGAAAATATGTCACCTCGTAACAATACATTGCTGAAATATGTACGTTAATTCTATATAAAATGACATAAACAAAGTAATTTGCGCGAACGATATAAAAAGCCACGCTCATTGGATTTATTTTATTTTATGTGTAAACAAAGTGCAGAACTGGATTTATCGCAAGTACACGCTTCCATTTGATGTTGTGAACCCATTCCCTATAATGTGAAAATATGTATATAATCTAATAAAGTTTGGGACCTCTAAGAAAAACCTCCAGCATGAAAACATAACAATTCGCATTCATCCATAAAAAAACATATTGCTAGCAAACAAAAATTTTATACAAAAAAAATTTGACATGTACATACATATGTACATACAAACTTAATATGTATGTATATGAACCTCGCAGAATAATGCTTTGAAAAGCATTCAAACATGCACCCATGTTGTGCAGTCCGAAATACAATCATTGAAATAAGTGCATGCATACATATCTTCGTTTAAAGTACAAAACCGCGTATCAACAAAATGCAAAACTGCGTATGTGAATTATGTAAATTATCTTCTAGAGAGTAAAAACCCTAATATTTCAAAATGTTTCTCTTTGTTGTAAGGCAATCGCATACCTGCCAGTATACGCGGTTTTGTACGATACACGGTTTTGTACCCTAAATTTCGACTTTGTGTGACACCGACTTCAACACCAGTAGCCCATTATCTCATGCACCACTTGCGCATAGATGAAGAAATAGTAAGTACAACACCAAACCTAATAAATATAGACAAAGCACCAAGCGATTGTATGCTTTTAAGTTTTGGTTCTATTTATTTACGTTTGCATTCATATGAGTCCATGAGGGCCAGAGTTGCCTTACTGACATTTCATAAAAATTTGATGTGCGTGCCCGAGACACGCCCTTGTAGTATTCTCTTACTAGAATATGTAGCATAACGTAGAACAGTGCGGCCGAAATTCAAAAGTGCGGCCACAATTCTAAGGTTTAAAGAAATGATTCGAAATTTCATACTAGGGGGTTTCAAGGCCACTAATTACGAATCCGCTATCAGAGTTGCAAGATTCGAAATAGCGGATTTAGTAAGGCGTCTGGTAAATTTCGGGATTTTTAATTAGAATCCTTAGAAAGATTTTGAGTATCCAATTTTATAGCCCAGTCAATTTCAATTTCAAAGTCTCACAAAGTGCAAGTTTAAAGTAGCTAGAACTTACCGTTGCTTTATTAGATTTTTTTTTGTTAACAGTTCCAGTTATTTTCTTCCATACGAAGTATGTTCGATGTTATGAAGAAAATGAGCAACACCTTAAACCAAAACAAAAAATTCCAAAAATAAACCGTAAGTCCCAGCTTCTTTAAACTTGCACTTAAATTAAAAGGGGCACAAAACTGCATACTCAAAATCTTTCCGTGAAATCTAATTAGAAAGCTCGAAATTTTTACATGGAGGTGAAGCTAATACATATATATAAGCGCGCTAAAAAAAAACCAAAAAAAATATAAGGAGCAGATTTGAGCGCATGAGTTTTGTTTTATTCTATAGCTAATACTTTTCTACGTAAACTCTAATAGGTTTAAAGACAGCTTCCAACAGCGTGTTGTTACTGTTGCATTTAACAACTCAAATTTTGTTCAAAAATAAACGAAAAAAATACATTTAAATTTTTATTTCTTAAACATTCCTCTTCCAGTATTTCTCTTCACAAATTTTGTAACGTATTTTACTAACCTTCAGACGTAGAATCCATTTGGTTTTGTTTGGTTTCCTATTGTCTAACTACTTTTATACGTTAATAACTTTTCGCTTTTTATTATAATAACTACCCAATGCCCACTTACTTCGCGGCGCCTAATAAGAACTTTTGCGTTGGCCAATGCAAAAGAGCGTTTAAAAGCAAAAATAGACTGCAAAGTCACAATTTTTGGTTTAAGGTGAAACCACTAAAGCGCAGTCTCCTCCTCACACATAGACCAGCCCTTTGATACCATATGGAATACGAATCCCTTTCGGTGTCATGAGTTTTACCGATGTTCTTATTTCCACCTGTGTGATATCTGTCAATCTTTTTCTATGATCTTGCAACTACTACATTGCTGCGATGCGTATGCCAACAAAAGTTCTTATAATGAAGCTCAAGAGCACAGAAGTGTGTTTTCTGTCATAGGAGGGCCAAGAATCCTAGCTGTCCCACAGGATGAAAAGTTTTCCGGTACGTTGGCTAAATGAGTCGTGTGATCTCTTGAATATCTTTCAAATGAACCAAATGATATACATACCTACGGTGACCTTTCCTTGTTAATTCGGCACTTTTACAATTCGTGGTAACATTTATGAACTGATTTCTAGGTAGATGTAAGATCGGATGATCGTTCATCAGGGCGTCAGACAAAATTAACCCCATCCTCCATTTAGCCATCTGAAAACTAAATTCATATAACTTAAACATAGGGCCAAAGCAGACCAACCACACGGGGTTTCTATAGATTTCGGCTGCAGCGCCATCCATTGGGACCATTTACAGAGTACATATGTCACTTCTAAAACTTGAACGAAATCGGTTAATAAATACGATTTTTATAAATAACTCTACTCCAGCACCACCTAGCGAGTTTTCTAGTAGCATGTAATAGGACCATATATGTAAGATAACCTTCGACAATCTGACGGAGCTCTATTCAGTGGTTTTTGAGTTTAGTTCGAACAACGAAAACGGCTATCATTTTACGAAAATAGGTATGTAGATAGGACTGTCTATAACGAAACTAAAAAAATCAAAGCTCTATTCTTTGTGCAAAATTTACAAAAGTTCTTCAAAACTTTCACAAAAATTTTACCTTTTACTAAAAACTAAAAACAACGTTACAATAGTTCCATGGGATTTAGAAAACTTGCAGAAAATCGTTCCCAATCGAGATACTTGCGCGTTTACGTAAATGTATATCGATGCAGCCTTCCCAATAATTACCACTTTTCGCCGTAAGTACGGTATGATAACATATGTAGCTGTGTCAAATTTCAGAAAGTTAACGAGCAGTTCCAGAGATAAGTGAAATGAGAAGCATGGGGGTGCGCCGCCCTCTTTTCCATTACTTACCACTTTTCGCTATAAGTACGGTATTGATAACATATGTAGCTGTGTCTAAATTCGGGACGTTAGCGTAAGCGGTTCCACAGATAAGCTATATGAGAAGTTCAGTTTGTATGGAAGGTGCCACGCCCCTTTTCCAATGCATTTGCAATATATGCATCAGTGCTAAGTTCCAGTTCTCCAGCGTAATTGGTTTTAGAGATGTATTGGTTTTTTACGCTTTAGTCTGTATAAGAATTTTAGGAATATCCCGAGCTACATACCGAGTAAATTTTTGGTCGGAATATTTATTTTCAAGGTGCTGGCATATGTTCCAAATATCAACCACATCGGTGCAGCCATTTAATAGCTTAGTGAAATACATTGTACGGAGAACTGTATGAAATTGTAAAGCGTGGCGTCTAAGATTTCTTAATTTTTTGGCAGCAACAACAAAAAGTTTTGATTTTTTTAGCGAAAAAGCTTCCACACAGAAGTTCCAAAAAAGTGCGATTGGTAATGCTTGAACACGCTTAATTGAATTTCAATAAAATTAAGTTTGTGGTTAATGTGCGAAATTTTGAGAACTGTCCGCTGCTAACTCTAGATATAAACAACGACGCACTGGAAAAAGTTAATACATTCAAATACCTAGGAATAATATCGTCGATCACAAACAAAAAAAAAATGGATTCTGTATTTTCAATTAGAGCTCTAGCAATATGTGCATCGGTGAAAACTGTATTTAATTCCATACATTAGTTTTTGCGTGATGCGGTTACAAACATAGACATACCAAAATTATAAAAATTTTATATTTGGCTTCTGTTAATCTAATAAACCCCCTATTAATTGTTCTTTAACACCTATTATGTACAGACATCGGCCTATTGCAATATTATTATTCTCAAATACTTTCGTTTGATACCCATATGGCATCATTCAGCTTATCTTATCAATTTACCTGAATTAAATTTTTCAAATAGGTGGCAACTCGCTTCAAAAATATTTTCGAAACTGAGCTCACTAAACCTCCTTAGTTTATTATGTGTATTGTAATATTTCATTTATTTTACCAATTTAAATAAATAAAAGTTTTCAAACAGGTGGCAGCTCCACCAAAAATATTTGCGGTATTAAAATTTCCGAACCCCTTTGCTTTGATGCCAATATTGCAGTATTAATTTATAATATCAATTTAATAAAATAAAAGTTTTCAAACAGGTGGCAACCTTCCACAAAAATATGTTCAGCTGCAAACCTTTGAAACCCGCTTTTTTTGACAGCCATATTGCAATATTTACTTTCTCGTATCAATTGACTTGAACTGGAATTTTCAAACAGGTGGCAACTCTCTAATTTTTTTTCTTCTATATTGTAAATTAGACATCTAGCGATACATCGGTGAAAACTGAATTCGATTCCATTCTTCAGTTTTCGGTGATGCGCCTACAAATATACAGACATACAGACAGACAAAAATTGTAAAAATTGTGGATTTGGCTTTTGTAGCTCTAATAAAGACCCCCATATTAATTTTTCTTTAATATCTATAATGTACAGACATAATCTGTTACAATTTTATTATAACTACAAATATAGATTTCATTTATTTTATCAATTTAATTAAATTAAATTTTTCAAACAGGTGGCAACCCTTCTCAAAAATATTTTCGACAGACAGACAGACAGACAGACAGACAAGAATTCTAAAAATGGTAGGTTTGGGTTCTGTTGCTCTAATAATGACTCCCCACATTAATTTGTCTTTAATATTTATAATGTACAGACATCGGCCTGTTACAATTCTATTATATGTATAGATATTGTGCTTGGGAGAAGGTCACACTAGAAATTAATATAAAGAGAGGACTTAGGGTACAGGTCGTTACAGTGAACAGTTTTCGCTTCTCAGATGATCCCTTTAGTCAACTCAATGTCAAAAAAGGCTAATCTAGAAACTTTATTTTCTCGAATTTTGGCCGCACTTTTGGAATTCGGCCGCACTGTGCGTAGGTGCAATGAACTTTTTAGTAAAAGACCGCATTTATTTTTTATAGATCCTTGTTTCTCATATTACTTAAATTTTTTTTTTGTAGATAGGCTCCTCTGGACCTCATGGCATCATATGTACTAGGGTGATTTATCCGGGTTTTTCAAACCGGTTTCGACCGGTTTTTTTTTTGGATATCTATAGGCGGTTTTTTTTGAAATCCATATTATTCAAATATCGAATAACCCAGATTTTTATAGAACAAACCGTTTTTTTTCATTTCATACAAACCTTGACCACTCAATAAAAGTTTTGAGTTTTTATAAGTTTTCAAGGCTCTTCCAGTTTAAGGGAAACAACCCCAAAATAGTTTAAAAATTATATCCTAGGTTATTTGGGGATGAACAGTATATCGATGGCTGAGTGGAAGATCGACCTATCTCGGCAGCCAGTTCGAAAACGCTCTATCTCAAAAAACTTTTCAAGAACGCCCTATTTCAGAATTCGTTTCAAAAACGCCCTATCTCAGCTGCCGATTCAAAAACGCCCTATATAAGCATATTTTCAATACATTTTGAAGTGTGATAGGGCGTTTTTGAATCGAATTTTGAGATAGGGTGTTTTTCAATTAAATTCTGAAATAGGGCGTTCTTGAAAAGTTTTTTGAGATAGAGCG